CCCTTCCCCACCACCAATCCCTCCCACACGTACAACATACCCTGCTCCGGTCTGTGCTTGAGGTTAAAGTCCTGATCCAGCCACCATGCATGCTTGGCTAGCTGGCATGTCTCTCCCCACTGCCATAGACTCTTATCTCTCTGTACCCCTAAACAGAATTAAACTGTTTCCCACAATGCACTTTTGATCGCGGTGTTTTGCCACAGCAACAGAAAAGGAACTGGCTCTGTATTTCACAGATGGCTTTGAACTATTTGTCTTAACCCTCGTCTAATCTCAGGTGTTTGATAGTGTGCTCATTTGGATGCCAGGGATAAAAAGCTGCCAGGCATACCGTCGGCATTTAGCGAGTGTTTGTTAAATGTAAGAGCATGCCGTGACGTGAGCTCTCATCCTTCATTCCCTCTCATCAAGTGTCTCTTATCCATGTTGTAGCTGAAGTAGAATTAAGGCTCTAAAGGCACAGAGAATTCTCTTGTCGGTGTCCTGGCTGATTTACAAGATAAGCCGTGATACTGGGTGGCACATGGACCTCTGTAGCTCATGACTGGCAGTGTGAGTGCCATTAATAAGTCAGGAGAGTTGAAAGAAAAAGGGTTTTTCCATTCATAGAACAGGAAACAGGATTTACGCCCACCTTAGGGGATAGGAGGAAAATAGCTATACCTCTCAAAGAGTGACTAGAAGAATTAGCAAAGCACTTAGAATCATTGTGTCTAGCAGGTAGTAAGCATTTAATAGGCTAAATACATATATGTGTATGTGCACCTATCAGAACTGATGGTGTAACCATAGATATACGCATATAATATATACTCTGTAAAGTTTAGTGATTCCACACACAATGTGGAATCCACAATAACTCTATAAGGTGAGCAGGAGGGCATTGAATAGTCTCCACCCCGAGCAATTGGTGATCCGTTCTTCCAATCCGTATCTCTAACGTCTGCGCCAGAGTCCAAAGGTAGAAACTGTGGCTTTCGCCCACTGATCCCCAATGTGCACATTGCTTTCAGATGCATAATTACCTCTCTTCTAGAATATTGAAGTATAGCACAGGTATGTTAGATTTTATGGCTTAAAGTACAAGGCTGGTGTCAGTTAAATGTCATGGGCCTTTCAGTAAGAAAAAAATTCAACAGTATCTATGCAAAGGTTATGATGTAATATTTCCCAGGCTCACAAAAATATACACAGTGTGGGCCTGGGGAGATGACTCAGTTGCTAAGGTCTAAGGAAAAATCCCCAGGACCCATGTAAAAGCTCAGGTGTGCTAGCTGCACTTGTAACCTCGACACTGTGGGAGAACTGAGACAGGAGGATCACTGGGGCTTAGCCTCCGGTCCAGTTCTGGGTTCCCTGTGAGCCGCTGTCTCAAGGAAGTGAGGAGAGAAGAAGTAGAAGATGCTGTGTGCCATCCTCTGGTCTTCACAAGTGCACATACACGTGCCACACGCTCACACACAGCAGATACACACTCACACACAGAAATATAGTAACAAAACCCAGTTCTCACTCAGGAGCGCTTTCTGCCGGACTGTATTTTTCCTGCAGTTCGGGAATGATAGCTTGAAGATACTGACTGGGAATTATGCATGAACTTTTAGTAGAAAAGAATTCAAGCTGGGAAATGTGCCCTGAGACCACATTTAAATAGTTAGATGCCCACGGGGTCATTGGTATGCAAGGGATATGTTTGCATTAGCCGAAGGAAAGGCTGATGTGTTTCTCGCAGTACCTATTCCAACTCCACCTTAAAATATAAAAGTTCTTTTTCTCTCTGAGAAACGGGATGGCTGTGTGCTGTTTCAACGACAAGCACGCTTGCCTTCTGCCCGCTCACATTTTGAATCGGGCAGTTCAGACTTGTGTTCCTTATCTGCAATTAGAATTCTCAGCAGGCTTGGAGAATTTTTTCCCCCTCCCCATCTTTTTTAAAAATTCATTCACCCTAACAGTTACCGCTTATGAGGAGAGTGGAAATCCTGAGTCGAACCAGGAAACCAAACAAAGTTGATTATTGAACCAGGTAAAGTAACCCCAGGCCATCATACTAAACCTCCACTGTGGTGAGACACGCTCCCCACCCCCCATTCACCATGTCTTACAATAGTTCAGGCTCAAGTGTGCTTCTTGTAACACACCCTGCTAGAAGCAGACTTGGTGTGCTTACTTGTGCACTAGGCTTAGTGTGTGCGAATTAAACGTGCTTCATCTAGCCCTCAGTAGGCAAGTAACACAAGACTTCCGAAGACAGGTCTCTTTCTCAGTGGGGTATTAAAAAGAAATTTACCTACGCACAGCACCATCTGGGCTGCCTTTTCATCCAGCGGGGGTAGATGTTGTTATTTCTACCTTTGTGTTAGCAGGGAAAGTAGAGAGCCAAGCAGCTCTGAGAGTGGCGTACATGTGTGGAGTTATCCTTTCCCCGCCATTTTAAGATGTGAGTGGGGCCTGCATGGTATGTGGGTTTGCTCCAGGCAGGGAATATAAACAGAGCCCAGCCTTGAATGGCAAGGTGTGTAGTAGATTCACTGACTCCGCTGTTTGCCCAGCTGCAGGCTCACTCCTTTTCATCCCCCAGCTGCCCAGCTGCTTCCTGATGCTGTTTTCTTTGCTTTTAAACTAGAGTGGGCAACCAGACTTCCTCCAGGTCCAGTAATTACTATAAACAGACAACTTTCCGAGGGCACAGGGCTGCACAGACGTTGGCGCTGCTTGGTACTTACGCCTTCCTCTGGTTTACTTGGTACTGACTTTGCAGGCTTTAAAGAGATGAGCACAGTCGATGAAAGCAAGACTCTCCAGCAGTCCCCAGTTTTACTCCTCCAGTCATCCTGGGAGTGCGCTGTTGGCCCCCATGAAGTGTTCGCTTCCTACCTTTTCTGCGGTCCTAGAGAAACAGCAGTTTTGCACGGCTCTATACTTAAATGAGTTCATTTATTCTAATGATACATCCAGGTTCCAATCTATTTCAAAACTCATCTCTCCAAATGAGAAAAGGAAAGTTTATTACTTTAAAACATTACTTGTACCTTAACTTCTTAACAACTACACCTTAATTCCAAAATCGAATCTGGATAACTTGGTTATTTGCGGGTGAAATAAAACCTGCCTCCTGGGTTTCACTGGAGCATCACACCTAGTGTGGATTGTTTCTCGTGGCAAAAATAATTGTGCACAAAATACAGGCCTTGCGAGTCTCCCCAGATACCTAACCCTGAATGTAGCATTAAAATTATGTGGGGAAACTGTCATTTCGGTAAAGTTTCTTAAACCTTATGTGATGAACACCAAGACTAGAGAGATGGCTCGGCAGTTGGAAGTACTAACCCAAGTTCAGTTCTCAGCACCATGAAAGGTAGCTTATACCTGCTCATAACTCCAGTTCCAGGGAGATTCAGTACCTCTAGCCTCCTGGGGCAGCCACACAGACACAATGCATAACACATAATTTTTTAAAAATGTAACTGAAAGAGTAATGCATACCTTTATTATCCAGGAAGATATTTATCAAATATCTAGGCTAGTTTTTTGGAGTACTTTGAAAAAGTATAAAAACAGCTTGGTTTATTTCTTTAATTAAAGAGTATAAACTTAGCAATGCAGTTCAAAATCACACAAAAATGTGTGCATTTTCTCTAACATCGCAGTTTTACCTTGAGAAAATTGTCCTAGGTGACACAGTGTGTTCATGGACATCCTCGTAGCAATGACATACCCAAAGTTGTTAATAGTTGAAGATTTAGTCATATCCATAGGAAAGAGGTCTATAAAAATCATTTTATTTATTCCCAAATTTTATTAAACTAATAGTTGTATGTGTTGTTCCCAGTAAAAGAAGAGAGTGCACACGAAGGGGTTTAGGACAGCCCGACCCTAACACGACCAACAGCAGCACGTTAGTCAAGTGTGGTGCAGGTGCTTGGAAACTCTGTCCAGCCTTAAACATACATTTTAAAAGAGCCTTTGGTGATTCAGATGGAAGTGGTTCAGTCAGCAAAGACGCAAGTTCAGACCCCCAGAACCCATGTAAAATTGAAGAGACTCTCCGTGGAAGGGGATGACTGGAATCCCAGCGCCACCAAGAGTGGTAACCGGAGCCTGGCTGAATCACGGGATTTCAGGTTTGATAAGAGGCCATGTCTCAAAAGAACAAGGGCAGGGAGCGTGTGAGGGGAAAACACCCAACCCTGACCTACACACACACACACACACACATACACACACACACACATGCACGCCTGCACACATGCCCATACCCATTCTAACAAATGCTACACCACAATATATTTGTTTTAAAACACATTAAAGTTATATATATTGGTTGATTCCAAATTTTAACTGGAGAAATAATACATGGTACTTTTAAATGAAGGGTGTGTGTGTATGTTTATGGGGAAAGACTTGACTCTAAGCCAGATCGTTACAGTGTTGTTATTGTTTTCTGTTCGTTTGGTGATCGCCTTTCTGTATCGTTCATTTTCCTACACCGAAAATAAAGTATTACTTCGTGATCAGAAAATCCATTTTATTCTAAACCTTGTACAAATCTTAATATTTATGTTGGTATTTTGACAAATACATTTTGTTCAGGACACGTCCTCTAAGTAAGGACTGTACTAATGCGGAGCTCCAGTTAGGCTAAAATTTACCCATGAATAGGTGGCTTGTGCCGCCAGTTCATAGCTCAGAGGAGATTGGGGAGCACGTTTTCGCGTGTAAAAGAACTTTGCACACGTTGAAAATGTGCGTAAGCCTCTGTAAATCATTTTTCATCAGAGCCTGTCCCCTGAACGCCTCCTCCCATCAGGTGAATTTGCGTATTTGTTTGGTTTATACAGAAGCAGGAGCCAAAACTCGCCTGTCTTACTACCATCTGACTTTCCCCCTCGCCAGTTGGAAGGTGGTATTTTTTAACATGCACACCTCATAGCAGTCCCGTTCACTGAGAACACTGCAGACAGACATCGCCTAACAAGCTGGGTCACTTTTCCCAGGTGATGAAGACATACCACATGTACCACGCCGAGAGCATCAACGCAGAGAGCAAGCTGAAAGAAGCCGAGAAGCAAGAGGAGAAGCAAATTGGGAGGTCCGGGGACCCCGTCTTCCACCTCAGACTAGAAGAGCGGCACCAGAGGCGTAGCTCCGTGAAGAAAATTGAAAAGATGAAGGAAAAGGTAGGTTTAAAACTCCATCGCAGAGCCTGGGCTCCTCATATGAGGAGACAAGACAGTCCTAAAAACCCTGATCCACCAATAATAGACACACATGGTGAATGACTATGAAAAGACATGCGTTTCCTCCCATGGGAGTGGTGACTGTTTAAGACACATAAAATTATGTCAGACAGCTGGACATCATTTCATGGTGAATGCCAAGTGTTCAGGACAAATCTGGAGAACTAGAATATTGACAGAGAGAGTTCAGTGAAAGTGGGCCCGGAGCCCAATACATTGTTGTTATTCCCAGAGCCGGGGAGCTTTAGTTTGATATTTAAATCACATTCGGAATGCACTTTCCACAAAAGACCTGGGGATCATTTTTATATGTGGAATAAATTGCTTAGATTCATGAAAACCCGCATGTATTTCTGTCTTATTAAAATGACTTCACTTTTGTTCCTGATGCCTGTGTCTTCTTCATTACCAGAGACAAGCAAAATATTCAGAAAATAAGCTGAAATCAATTAAAGCAAGGAACGAGTATCTCCTGACACTTGAAGCAACCAATGCCTCGGTGTTCAAGTATTACATTCACGATCTTTCAGACTTAATCGATGTAAGTACTTGACGGTTTGTATACAGAAAGTAGCATTCATTAATGAGACAATGCCATTATTTATTAGTATAATGCGGTTTACGTAGTGCTCAGAAAAAAGTAATTCTGACCTAACCACACAAGATACTTTGACAGGATCAGTTGTAAGATGCGTATGGCAAAGCATAATTGCAAACTAAATCTGATGAAAGCAAATTGTTATCCTGGTAGACTCAACCGGAAAGGAAAGATTACAGTTTTCAGACCATGCCATAGCACCGCTCCGTTTGCGTCAACTCAAACTAATTCCCTAGGACTGGGGCTATTGCTCAGGGAGAGACCATGACCCTCTCGTGTACAGAGCCCTGAGTTTGATCCCCAGCACTGCAGAAAACAAAACAAACCCAAAAAAGCTCCAAGAAAGCCACAACCCACATGTAGTCTTTACTATCTGAAATCCAGGGTGCCTTCATTTTGATTTTTATGTGCGTGATTGTTTTTGCCTGTTCGTGTATATGTGCAGCATGGGCGTGCCTGGTGCCCTCAAAGGCTAAGCTGATTCTGGCAAGAGACACACTTTCTTTCTTTCCTACAAAGTAGCAAGCCCGCACCAAGCACTCCTTTGCTAGGCTGGTTTTGGGTTATTGCTTTGTCAGTGCTAGGGAACAAACCTAAGGCCTCGCACCTGGCTGCAGCCCAGTCCCTTGATACTGACATGCATAAGTGTATGCATAGACAAATAAATATAACTATAGGCGGGTACATACGTATTTGTAAACACATGCTAAGGTTTCCAGGGCCTGGCACATGTTACGTGCTCGTGAACTAAGTGCTGAGTGCTTAAGTCAGCTGTGCTAAGTGCTTAGTCTACAGCGATAGTACTGACTGGGGCTAAAGAGCCGCACATAACCTCCCTCAAGCATTGTCCTGGACCCTGGAGTTTCATCAGTGAACAACACAAAGTCTTTATCATTGTGTTCTTTACATACGTGTTGAGAGACAAACTCTAAATTGTGTGTGTGTGATGTGTGTACATATTTAAAGTGAGGACTGGTGGTATTTTAAAGCTAGCCAGGCATAGTGGCACACACCTTTAGTCCCAGTACTAGGGAGGCAGGTCTCTGTGAATTTGAGACCAGCTTAGGCTACATAGCGAGTTCCTGGTCAGGCAGGGTGACATTGTGGGACCCTGTCTCAAATCAACCAAGCAAAAAGAAATGTAAGATATTGCCATGAGTGTTCTTTTCTGCTGGGAAAGGCCTGATACTTGAACCAAGGCGTAAGCTGGGAGCTGCACAGGCACCCAGTTCCAGGACGGAATCCCCTACAGCCGCACTGGCTGGGTGAGAGCTACAGAGGCAGAAGTGTGTTCTGGAGGCAGAAGTGCCACTGACTGCAAGCACAAGGTGCTCATGGGATATGCAAGTGGGTGGTCTGGTTGGAGCGGAGTGAGTGAGGGCCGCATGGACTGACCACAGCCATTGAGACAGTGAAGGTCTGGACTCTGCGCTCAGTGTGGTAAGGAGCCAGCCAAGGGTTGGAAGAGAGAAATGACTTCAGCTGGTGTATATTTGGAAGACTCTGCAAACTTCATGGAAAGAAGACTGAAGGGTTTGGTTGTCTGGTCGTCAGGGAAGGGCACTATTTGAAAAGACTAGAAGGGCGAGGAGGTGTGGCCTTCTTGGAGCAGACGTAGCCTGGTTGGAGGAAGTGTGTCACCAGGGGTGGACTTTGAGGTTCCAAAAAGCCCATGTCAGTCCCAGGTCCTCTCCTTCCGAGGGCAGATCAGGATGTAGCTTCCAGCAACTTCTCTAGTATGCTGTCTGTCAGATGATAATAGAAACTGTAGCAAGCCCCTAATGAAATGCTTCCTTTTGTAAGAGTTGCCTTGGTCATGGTGTCTCTTCACAGCAACAGAGCAGTGACCGAGGCAGCTAGCCAGCAGGACCCAGGGTTCTTCCTCCCCAGCGCTGAAATTGCAGGCACACACTGCTGTATCTGCCATTTTTCTCTGGATTCTGGAGAGCCCAAATGCTGGTTTTCATGCTTGAGCGACAGGCCCTGTGCCTAGTGGGCCGTCTCCCCAGGCCCTAAACAGAGATGTTTTTTATCTCCAGATGCACTTGACTCTGCTCTAAATAGACAATGGTTAAATGTGCCAAGTGATTTTCAGCCTTTTCAAAAGTTTTAAAGATCAACCTTAAATTTAAAACATGAACAGTTCCTAAAAGTCATGACTGAACCATGAAGTTTGAAAGAAGCGGCATGGAATCGGTTTGCTGTCAGAATCTGCCAGAACCGAAGGCCCTGAGATAAAAGGGAACCATTTTCCCTGATTTGCTTTTTTTTTTTCAGGCAGTGTGAAAGTGGATGTTCTAAAATGGCTGCTTATTTTGTGGGGTCCCATTTTGCATATATAGTAGTGAGCTGAAAACCCATTAGCTTGGCCCTTCCTGGTGGAATAGAAACAGCTTGGCTATTATCCCAAGGTTCCTCAAATCCTTTATGCTGTGTGAGTGTATTTAACGATGTCCTTTTCATTCTGAGCTATCTGATATTAATGGAGAGACCTGCTATGTCTCCAGTGAGAGGAAGTCAAGACAGTGTCTTTAACGTGCCATTGAAATGACATGAAGGTCACTCAATGAATCTCAATAGTCACAGCTTCATAAAGTCAGAGAATTGAGGAGGGGGCCTTTTTGTAAAGATCTTCAGTTCACCCATCTCACATCCATACCCAACAAATTTGCTATGATGGATGATCATAAATAGGTCGATTCGTGTGACAGGAAGTCAAGGATTTTCCATAGGATATGTATTTTAAATTATTTTATTAGTTCAGGGCCAGCACATGTAGACTCTAGAAAATTTAAGATGTTTCAAGCCGTGAAGAAAGCACCGTGCTAATACAACTGAGATTATCAATGACGAAGCTCAGACTTGATGTACCCCCACACATACACACATATGCACACACATGTGTACGCACATACACAGAGAGATGTGCACGCACACATACACATGCACGCACGTGCACACACGCGTACACACATACGTGCACACAGATATGCATGCACACATACACATGCATGCACGTGCACACACGCGTACACACATACGTGCACACAGATATGCATGCACACATACACACACTAGATAAGGAAGTCGTTTAACCTGCTTTCTTTCTGTTAGTGGCCTCGGAAGCTGCATTCCCGTTTCTCGCTCTAAATTGTGCTTCACAGCCGCTGTGTCTAGATCACACCAAACTGAGCGCAGTGTAGGACACTTCCCTGGGCCATGCAGACGTTAAGTCTCTTCTTGACAAAGCCCTTGTGGAAGAGACAGACACAATATTCCTCCAAATGCCCCAGCTTCTGGATTTGTCTCATCACATCTCTGTTGGGTGTTTTATTGAGTTTCTCTGCCCCCTACAAAATTAACTTCAGTCCATGAAGTCAGTCGGCCACTCCACAGCAGACGCCATCATAGATGGCATGACTGCGTCTTGTGCAGCAGCTGGGGTTTAACTCCCCGAGAGCAGTGCACACATCGGCTTAGAATGTCGTGACTCCGATTCCCCCGTCATGGAGTTAAGTGTTTTCCCTCTTAACAGATAAAAAGTTGATATCAAAAAGTCTCTTTGGTTTGGAGTTTGTTGAGATGTAGTAGTTTGGAACCTTGGCAACACCTGAGTTGTGATTTACTCTTGGTTAGCAAAACCCTTGCTTAGGCTGTAAATTAAAGGGAAGTCAAGGGTTTGTTTTCTAATATAATTGAAGCCCAAGATTAATCGATTTGCATATGTACCAATGATGCCTTAACTAATTCAATATCCTCCTTGTAACTACTAAGGCTAGAAACTTTAATAATTAATTAAACACTTTCATAGACCTATTCAAATATTTTTTATTTATTTGGAGATTTTTGGATACTTAAAAGTTATTGAATGATGTTAGTGTTTCTTTATTGAATGAATAAAGCCTTTATTTACCAATACTTGACTAGGTAAATTTGATCTTTCTCTTTCAGAAATGTGTAACAGAGTAGAAAAATCTCATACTTTAAAAAAATAAATGGGTCTTAGAGCCCTACTAGGATTTCAGTCAGTCTTAAGGCATTGATTGTGCTTTTTGAGATCAATGGATTCATTTTATAATTTGTTAAGAGTTGTAGGTAAATGGATGTTTTGTGCAAATTTAAAGTGTTAACTCTTATAACTCAACTTTTTGATATGCAAGATAATGTGATGAAGAATATGATAGCTTGGCTATTAACGGAGCATCTGGTTGTGGTTGTTGTTGTTTGTGCGACTTGAAAATAGATGAATGCCAAGTACAGACAATGAGAGTAGACATCTCTGGCTCCAGGCCCGCTCTGAAGGGATGTGTGGACAAAGCAAGCTTGACCTTACAGGTGATGGCGTCAGCTCTTCACAGAGCAGCCACGCGAAAGGAAGAACACGGTCACTTCATTTTTGCTTGCAACATTTTTAGTCTTCTGCAGTGCACAGTGCTGTTTCCTGCCCAGGGAAAGGCAGAGGAGGGATCGTGACTAGGAGGGATAGTGCCAGGAACTTCCTAGATAGCAGCAATCCTTGTTTTAGATTTATTTATTTTATGTATCTGACTGTTTTGCCTGAATGTGTATATGTGCACTGCATGCATGCCTGGTGCCCACAAGATTAGAAGAGGGTGCTGTATCCCCTAGAGCATGGGATGGTGTGGATCCCATGTGGAAACTGGGAATGGAACCCAGGTCCGTGTGTGTGTGTGTGTGTGTGTGTGTGTGTGTGTGTGTTCTTGATGTTTTGCCTACATGTGTGTCTACATGAGGGTGTTAGAAACCCTAGAACTGGAGTTATAGACAGTGAGCTGCCATGTCGTTGCTGGCAATTGATCCTGGGTCCCCTAGAAGAGCATCCAGTGCTCTCAACTGTAAAAAAAAAAATCTGTAAAAGCAAAATCAAGATCTTTTACAACCAGAAAACAAATCCTGCAGACCATATTTCTCACTGAATACTGAGTTTCCAGCGATTTTCTTGATGAAAGATTTCTGTTTTGCGTGTTTGCATGTAGTGGTGATTGGTGTTTAGGATGTGTATGTGCACACGAGGGTGTCTAGGTGTGGTGTGCCGTGGTGCACGTGTGGAAGTCAGACCGTGGCCTTGGGTACTGATGCGCCATTTCCATGTTTGAAGCAAGAGTATTTTGTTCCCGGCTGTATTTGCCAGGCTCAGTGGTCCATGGGCTTCTGGGGATTCTCTTGTCTCTACATTTCATCTCACCCTAGAAGTCCGGTGACTACAGATGTGCTCCTCACTATACCCAGCATTATGTGGGCCTTAGGGATTCAAGCTTGGGTCCTTAGATCTGAGCAGCAAGCCCCTTACTCACTGATCCTTCTCACCAAGAATGCAGTTTGGCTGGCCTGAAGAACAGGTTGACCTTGAACTCACAATGGTCCACCTGCCTCTGCCTCCAGAGTGCTGGGATTAAAGGTGTGCACCACCGCGCGCGCGCAGAGTGCACAGTTAAGTGCTCAACAGTAGGACTCCCTAATCTATTGTCAGATCCACCATTCTGTAAACTTATCATTCTTAAAACAATAACTGGGTCTAAGACTTCATTTCTGATACCACGGCCTCTTTCCACACAGATCCATACTTCTAAGATGCAGCCGGAGAAACTAAGTCTTCAATGATAAAATGCTATTGGTCCCTTGTCACCAAGTATGTGCCCGGTGATAATTAGTTGTCACTCCTGCAATACAGTTCCGTTTCTAACTTCCCCCTCGGAAGGCTGCAGCCCCCTTGGAGGCTTGAAGGCTAAGCCTTTCTGGTGGAGTATTTCCAGGAGATAATCTCCTACTCCAGCCAATTTTCTCCATGCAGATATCTGTCACACACGCTTTCCTGGCCATTTGTACAGAATGAAACTGAAATTAGATTGCAGCACCAAGCCCCTGCTGCCTTTGGTTTATCATTTCTGAATAATCAGTTATGCTAAAGCTTTTAACCTTATCTTTTTGTCTCTTGGGACCTACACTTCATTAAAAAGCAACTTATTCAGTTTCCTTAATTAGTCAGATTTTCCCCCCATGCGCGGTGGTATTGAGAGTCATCTGTGAAAACCTGCCAGAAAGAGATACTGTATTTCCCCATTAGATCTGAACTCTCATTAGAAAGATTACAGAGATCGTGTTCAGTGGGTTGGCATATCATATCGATCATATAGACTAATTTTGGCATGGTTTTAATCCGTTGTGATTTTTAATGGATATTTTAAAAGAGAAATGAGTTAGATAACTGAAGAAAGGAACATTTAAAGTTTTTTCCAATGGAAATGCCAGACATAAATCCCTGAAATGAGGACTGAGGTTTTTTGGGTTTGCTTTGTTTTTTTGTTTTCTTTTTCTAGTCTCCAGTGATTTCTTGACCATATTCCTCTGGACCTCTGAATATCAAAAGCCTCTGAAGGGTGGCCCCGGATTTCTGCCTTTTATTTTCGCTTAGGCACCATTTGATGGCCCTTAGATTCTTATCACCTGAGTGTATCAACTTTCCTGCCAGCAGCCTGTGCAATTATGTAGGCATTCTGAAGAGGCCGAATTCCCTAAGCGGCATGAATGCCTATTTCTTCCCACCTCTATACAGACAACTTTCTTCTTACCAATTTTTCATGTCCCAAGAAAGGCTACCACTTTCCCCCCAGGCCCACAGGCTGACACCCAGTTCCCTGATTCCTCCCATACCATGTGTCAGCAAATCCCATCAACTCTTTCTCCTGAAGGTCCCAAACCCTCGATACCACTTCTTGTGACACCCTTGGACTCCTAGGCAGAGACTCCCATCACCTGCCTGCATTGCTTCCTGTACCTTCTAGAAATGTACCCCACAACCTGCCTCATGTCCTCTAAATCTCTCTTCTCTTCCCAGAGTACTAAATATCAGAAATCAGACATGGCTGTCATATTCAAAATTCTCTAGGCCTCCTATATCCTTAGAATAAGAGCCAAATATTCAGTTACCCATTATGAGTTGGCACCCGCGTGCCTCCCATCCTGCCCCCCAGTTCCGTCTACATACTGCCTCTACTTACTATGCCTCAGCTGTGCCCGCCCATCTGTTCCACAGAACCACGTGCACTTCCTTGCTTGGGGCCTTTGTGCTGCAGAACTTTACAAGGCTGAGTCCCCCTCTTGAACATATCACACATTCACGCCCTAAATAAAAGACCAGCAACCTTCCCTCCAGATCCATGCTGCTCCCCTGACCAGTTGTTTTCTCCTTAACATTTGCCATCTGGCGGCACTTCTCTGAGCTTGCTGTGTTTGGTCTCTCTCCTTTCTCTTGACTTCGTCTGCATTAGTTACAAAGTTGTTGTTTTCTCCCTGAGAAAATGAGCATGGCGGATGGGAGACGCATCAGGTAATGGGTGATTATGAAGCTGTTCATTAGCCAGACCTATCGGCGGCAACATTGATCCTGCTTCCTGCTTTGTATCCATTCCTGTTACAGAGATGCACCCTTGGTTGTGACCTTCTCCTTGCTCAGGGGAAAACTCCAAACTTTCTGTTTATTAAGTGTTTAGCTACAGTTGGTAAAGTAGCAACAAGAATTGAATTGCCGGCTTTCTGTGGATGCTCAGAAACCCCAACATAAAAATGGGCGTGTAAAATGTGCTTGTGGGAATTCAGATGTCTGGCTTGGTGCTACGCTTATTTCTCACAAAAATCTATTTATGGTTTCTGGGTTAGAGTAATAAACAGTTAGAGAAGAAAATGGCGGAGGGCAGAAGGCAGCCATCCCAAGGCAGGCCGCTCTCTTCACCTGACGAGTAATACAAGAGCCCTGGACTCACCTCCTTCCAGTCCTCTGAAAGCCACTCGTGGGTAGATGAAAACTGCTTTTTTTAGAATCCTGGTGCCCTTGGCTTGGCCTACTTTTCAAAGAGACTCAAAATAAAGCGTAGGAAAAGTCTTTATCCAATATCCATGGCAGAGGTGACAGTCAAAGGTGCCTGTCACACCTGCGGTCAGCAGCTCTCCTGGGGAGCCTGCGCCCACCCTAGGGTGTGGATTGTTACTCTTCTCTCTTTCCCTACCACAGTGCTCTTAATAAAGTTAACTGCACTTCCTTAGAAATGAAATCCTAAGGAACGAATCAGGTGAAAAAGACCACTGGCATCTCTCAGGCAGAGGCTAGAATATAGGAGTGGAGGGAGGGGAGTGGAGTGAGGGGAGTAAGGAGTGAAGGGAGTTGGGGAGGGGAGTACAGGAGTGAGGGAGGGAAACACAGGAGTGGAGGGAGGGGAGTACAGGAGTGAGGGAGGGGAGTACAGGAGTGAGGGAGGGGAGT